CAGTTTCCTGCCTGGGTCCAGAGCCATGCCGGGACGGGAGGTCTGTGATGGGAGCATGGAGCATGCCATCTCTGCCATCTGCCAAGCCCTGGCCTCATCCTGAGGCGGCAACAACAACATGACACACCACGGCACAACCTGAATCAACAAGCAAAAGTGGCCCTGGGGAGCTCTCTGCAACCCAACTTGAGTCAGCGGCAATCAGGTCGCTATTTATTGCCATGCATCTCACAAACGCAGCCAGAGACTCTCTGGAAAGGGCCACACACAGCAACTAACCACCTCTATTGTGAGAGAAGCCGATCCCTGGCTCCCACCAACCCACAGGTCAACGGAGGGGAAAACATTCAGCTATAGCGCCACACCGTCCTACAGGGAGGCAGGCAGGCAATGGACAGGCCCAGAGTGACTCATCATGCAAGGTTCCTCTTCCTGCCCCGGGCCTGGGGCATCCCTGCAAGGCTCAGACGGTGGGGGCTGGCCAGGATGGAGGAAGGAGGGCTGGAAAGAAGAGGCAGGGGCTAGACCTCGGCACTGCCCTACAGCCTCACTCGCTGGCCTGGGGCGAGGTACCCACAGTGACATCTATCCTGGAGGCCACCGCCATTCAGGCCTCCCCACGCCCGGCCCAGCGCCCCCACAACACAGTCTGCGCAGAAAAGCAAAGTGCAGAGCAAGGGGTCGCTTGCCTTTGTTGCCATAGGTCCTGGCGCAGTGGAACGCTGCTCCCCCATTCGGGATGGGCTCCTGGTGCCTGGAGACCTGGGGAAGGGGAACACCGTGGTGGGTTTTAACATGGACCTTTAAGTAGGAGGCAGAGGAGAAACCTAAACAAGACAAAAGGAGATGAGATCCCGCGGCCAGCAAGAGATACCTCTCTGCTTTCCCTCGTCTCCTCTGGCCGCTCTGGCTACTATTCCCAAGTCAGCTGCACCTGAAAAAGGGTCCCCTCCTCGGTTCAAAACAGCACAACCACAGGAGCCACACGGGTTGGGATGAAGGTTGGCTAAGTCTACAAGTCAGCTTCTCTGTACAGCCTACTCTGCAAGGCTGTACTGAAGGGCCCAGGCTGGCTGCCTGGTAGGATGCCCTGAAGTCCTGCTCCTGCTAGGGCCAGAGGCCAGCTGCCTCTGGGCTTGCTTGGTGCCATGGTAACAAGAGGTTTGGAGCCAGATGTGGTGATGCACACCTCTGTTTCCAGCAGTCTGGAAGACTAAGGCAAGATTATACATTTCAGTCCCACACAGGCAACTCAGTGACTTAGCGAGACCCTGTCTCAGATTAAAAATAAAATAAAGGGCTGGGGATGCAGTTCAGTATGAAGGCCCTGGGCTCAACCCTTAGTATTGGGAAGAAACGGAAAGAGAGACAGGAAGAGAGAGAGAGAGAGAAAGGGGGAGAGAGGGGGAGAGCGAGAAAGGGAGAGAGAGAAGGAGGAGAAGGAGAAGAAGAGAGGAAGGGAAGGAAGAAGGGCAGGATGGTCAGGTTTGTTGGCACGAGCCTGTAATCCCAGCACTTGGGAGGCTGAGACAGGAAGACTGCCATGAGTTTGAGGCCAGCCTGGGCTACATAGTGAGCTCAAGGCCAGCCTGAACTACATAGTGAGACCCTGTCTCGAAAAGCCAAGGGAGTAAAAAAGAAAGAAAGAAAGGGAGAGACAGAAAAAGAGTGGTCTGAATGGATGTTCCACAGTCCCAGGTCAGCTGTAGGACCACGGCTAGAAATGTAGTCAGACAAGTATGTGGGGCTACAGGGCAGCCACAGGCCTCCAGCCAGCAGAATGACTCCTTAACAGTTGTTAAAGGGACACTGGCACCAATCCAGATGAAGGTACAATGGAATCCCCAAGGAATGTCTCCAGTGGTCCCTCTTCTGTCTATCATTTGTTTCTTTGTTTGTTTTTTGGTCTTTTTGAGACAGGGTCTCGCTCTGCAGTTCAGGCCGGCCTTGAGCTCACTGTGTAGCCCAGGCTGATCTCGAACTCGCAACGATCCTCTTGCCTCAGCCTCCCGAATGCTGGGATTACAGGAGTGCGCCACCACACCCAGCTCTTCTGTCTGTCAGAATATGTTCTGTTTTGCCAACTTTCCTGCCTTCTGAGTAACTCCTTAAGTGACTGCTTAGACCTTTTGAAGAACAACAACAGAAAGTTATGTTAAAGAGGCATAGTCATCTCATCCACGGCAGTCTTTTTCATCTAGCTTGGAGCATCCACCAGGGTCACTTAGAGAAGAAAAAGCAGGATGATCTGTTTGCCTTTATTTTGATTTTTTTTGTTTGTTTTTTTCTGGTACCAGGAATCGAACTCAGGACCTCATGCTTGCCAGACAGGCGCTTAAGCCACTGAGCCATATCCCCGGCCCCCTGCCTTTATTTTGAGAAAGGGGCAATCCAGCCATCTTGTCACTGCTCCAGCTCCTCCTAGATGCTTCGGTCAGTCTGAGCCCCAAGATATCTCAGGCGCCAAGGATACTGAATCTGGTAGGCAGTAAAAGGATTTAAGGTTGGGTTTCACAGGAGGAGATATGCCATCAAACTCCGCTGTGATCAAGGATCAGAGAGTGCCTTTAGCAGGCACCAAAGGTTTTAGTTTAAGGCCCCTTTGGGGTGCCAGTGGCTTGATGGTGTCCCTTTAATCCACTCTAGGTCTGGCTAACACATTCTCAGCACTTTCATTCCCTTTTAAAATTATATGGTCACAGGATCACAGTGTGATCCTTTGCTAAAGGGTCAGAGGCTGGGGTGTACTGTGTAATGTCTGCACAAAACTTATTTTTAAAAATGTCTGAATTGAGCTGGGCATGGTGGCACATGCCTGTAATCCCAGCACTCAGGAGGCTGAGGCAGGAGGATCATTGCAAGTTTGAGACCAGCCTGGGCTACAAAGTGAGCTCAAGGCCAGCCTGAACTGCATAGTGAGACCCTGTCTCAAAATGACAAAAAAACAAAAAAAAAAAAGAAGAAAAGATTGAATTAGCATACCGTTTTGAATGCTGCTGCAACTGTAATAAAAGTTCATCTTTTTTTTTTTTTTTTTCCTGGTACCGGGAATTGAACTCAGGACCTTGAGCTTGCCAGGCAGGCGCTGTGTCACTGAGCTATATCCCCAGCCCTAAAGGTTCATCTTTAGCAAATGCTGATGGTATACCAGGCCCCAGCACATTACATGCATTATTCTGAAGAATTCCCCTGACAACTTATGTTTTGGGAGTTATTATTATAAAGATTTTGAAGAGAAAGATGCAAGAGTGAAGTAACTTTGAAGTGAAGTAACTTTCAGTCACATATACAGTACTGCTACTAAGCGGCAGAGCCGAAACCTGCTGCAACCCCAGTCTTTATACGCTCCCTGGAACTTCACCTTTAACCACTGGCAAGACCCTGAAATGGCCCTATGTCTTGGCCCTGAGGCCTGGAAAGTTCTTTTGAATTTTTGCAGTAAGTTTCATTATCACTAGTGCTTTGCCAAAACAGAAGGTGCTTGTAGACAAAAGGGCTGGCCTGTGGGAAGCTTACTTAACAATACTCCCTATAGCAGAATCTGGCGGTTTCAGATGGAAACATAGGATAGGAAAATTCTCCTTCCTTCTCCAACACAGCTACTTCAAAGAGCCACCTGGACAAGCTGCTGGTGTCCGGCCCTGTCTGGTGGAGCTAGTTGTCTTACACTGCAACTAAGCGGTTAGCCTGGGGGCAGGCACTGGGGGACAGGATGACTGCGCTCACGTAAGCATTCCTAAGAGGCAGGCTGCAGTCAGGAAGGAGTAGACAAGGCTGATGGAAAAGAGGTTCTCAGCCTTGCTCTTAGGTTGGCCCCGTGGGAACTACAGAACCAAGGGGAACTGGGAGACACGGGCCCCGAGCCACCATCACAAGATAGCAGAACTTTCTGAATGTGATGATGTCACTTTAGAATGGAACGTTTTCCTTGGTTTTTAATTCCTTTCAGGGCTTCTGAAGTAGTATGAAGCCCTCCCTGTGCATGCCAGGGCAGGTCCACTGCAATCAGAGTGGACGGGCAAGGAGCGGGAAGCGCCCAGGAATTATTATATTTACTCCTCGTATGGAAAGCTGTACCAGAGGAATACAGCAGAGCAGATGCTCAGGAAAAACTTCCTGTGTTTTCCTGAAAAACAGTCTGAGGAACACTGGCTGGGTCCTCTTGACTTTACCCCAGCTGTAGACTGTACTATCTATAGCGAAACCACTTGGCAGGGTGGCAAGAATGGATCCACAGCTGCCACTTAAAGCCTAAAATTTAAACACAGAGCAACTCGGGAGCCAAGTGTTGGGATGAAACAGAAGCTAAGTTTCTGAAAAGAACACATCTTCGAAGCCAGACGTGTTTAGCCGGAATTCTAAGCTCACCCACCCTATTCACCACCGATTAACCGACAGCCAAAGAATTCGCTTGATCCGGGCATCCACGTGATGCAGACTAACAACCAGCCAGCCCTGCTCCTCCTCACTCCAGGGAGGAAGAGTTTATTAGCAAAAGGCCTCTGCTTCTCAGGTGCACTTTCTTGCCTGGTGTCCCTGAAATTCACACAGCAGACACAAATTCTCCTTGGGCAGTTTCTGCATCTATGCAGGAATTGCAGCCTGCCTTTCCCATGTCCATATTCCGGAGAGGCCATACCCAACTGTGTATGTTGGGGGGACTGTGTCAGGCCAAGGGAATGCTGGTTGCCTGCGTCCATCCACATGTGAGCTCGCCTTTTAGCTAATGATGTTTGGATCCAAATGTCTCTGTCAAAGGCAGATTCCTGACCAACTCTCTCTTCCCAGGACATATACATATGTACAAATACTCTGCTACAGGGCTGGGGATTTAGCTCAGCGGCACAGCGCCTGCCTGGTAAGCACGACATCGTGAGTTCTATTCCCGGTACCGGAAAACAAAAAAACAAAATACTCTGCTATAGAAAAACAAATTTTTAGGGGGGGTAGAGGAGTCAAACTCAGGACCTTGTGCTTACCAGGCAGGCACTGTGCCGCTAAGCTATACCCATGGCCTCACAGAAAATATTTAAAAAAGAAGAAAATAACCAGGCCAGGTCCTTCTCTCCTTTCCACCATTCAACTCAGCTGATTTCCTCAAACCGCGGAATGTCGGAACAAGCTTTTCTAGCTGTAACGGTCCCTCTATAGGAAATGATCTTCCTCTACAAATGGTAGGCAACACATGTCCTGGTATGTCTGAAGGACAAAGGGTCATCTGTTTCTTAATCTTGCATGTGACTCACTTGTGGAGTTAGGGGCCCATAGGCTGCTTCCTTCTTGCCCATTCTTCATAGTGAAGAGTCATTTTTGAGGCAAAGCCTACGTAAGTCAAGTCTTTAGTTAAAGTGACTGATGAACAATTATTGGACTGAAGGATCCCAGCAGGCACCTGGAAGTTCATCTGATTTAATCAAAACTGGTCTCACCAGCAGGCTAACTTTAGCCTTTTGCTTGAACCTTTGAAGAGATAAGATAATTCTTATTTATTTATTTATTTCCTTTCCAGTGCTGGGGATCGAACCCAGGGCCTCGCACATGCTAGGCAAGCATTCTACCACGGACCTACACCCTCAGCCATAAGAACATTCAGTTTGGCCAGGTGAGGTAGAATATCCCTATAATTCCAGCTACTTGGGAGGCCGAAGCAGGAAGATCACGAGTTCAAGGCCAGCCTGAACAACTCAGCAAGACCCTGTCTCAAAAAGGGGTGGGGTTGGGGCTGGGGATTTAGCTCAGCAGCACAGCGCCTGCCAGGCAAGCACAAAGTTGTGAGTTCAATTCCTCGTACCGGAAAAAGGAAAAAAAAAAAAGGGTGGGAGAATGTTCTGGGGATAAAAAGCTCAATACTCCCTGGGTTCAGTCACTAGTATACATGAACAAATATCAGTCATTTGAGCAAATTCTTGGTAATTTTAGGACAAATGATAACACAGAACTCTCTGGATTCTGATTCCAATGTCCCAGAGTCTCACTATGTAGTGCAGGCTGACTTCCAATTTCTGGCAATCCTCTTGCCTCAGTCTCCGCGAGTGCTGAGATTACAGGATGCCTCACCACGCCTAGCTTGTCTCTTCCTATTTCTGTCCAAGAAATGAAACCAGGAGTAGTTGGGGCTGGGGATTTAGCTCAGCGGCACAGTGCCTGCCCGGCAAGCGCAAGGTCGTGAGTTCGATTCCCGGTACGGGGGGGGGGGGGGGGGGGGAAAACCAGGGGAAGCAACCTGCCCCCCCTTTTTTTTTTTTCCTCCTCTTCTGATAAAACACTAAAAGTACCCAGTGTAGGCTGGACCATAGCTTTCTTTTGTCTTCTTAGAGGAGTGATTTCCTGCTTTGACTGTAGAACCAAACGATGTATTAGCCTGTGATCCAGATCTGAGATGGCCTTTCTGAGAAAAGGTAGGCTCTGGTTTTACTCTTCCGCATTCTCTACCCCAAGCACACAGTTTGTGGCTGATGCCCAAGTCCTCTTTATCAGCTCTCAGGGAAAAAAATCCTGACATACAACAGTTATTGACTTTGCCACATCAGCTCTCTCCTAAATGGGTCAACTTTCCCAGCTGGTCTCTGCTGCTATCAGCTCTTCTTTTCTCCTGAGCTGGGTTCCCAGAGCCCTAGGTCTCCTGTCCAGCTCCTGCCCTACTCTCCCATCTGGGCTAGGATTTCTAGGTTTTGTCATTAGCGTCTTTCTCTACTCTTACTGGTTCTCAGCCTCTAGTCTCTGACTCCAGTTCTGGGGCTGGGAACACTGAAAACTTGACAAAAGGCCTGCCAATGGCACACTACAGAGGGTTCAGTTATTTGCCAGGAAGCCAGGTCAAGATGAAGGAAGAAAAGCAAACTGCTTTTTCTAGGGCTGGGGCAGCCCCAGTAAAGGCCATCCTGATCACTCTTCACCCACATACAACCCCACTGCTTGTTCCCCAGAGGACACTCCCACTAGAAATGGGCTGTGACATGTCAGGAGACAGGATGGATGGCTTAAACAGCTTCAATTATCATTGCTCCCCTCTCACAGCAGGTTTCCTGGTGGAACAAACATCCACATTCAGTGGCCATCATGAACAGCCCCCCAGGTGTGCAGTATCGAGGAGGCCCCCAATTCTAGGACACCAGGAACACCCAGGTACTCAGCGATCTCCCTCCACCCAGAACCTCATGGAAACAACACAGGCACCCAAGGAGTCCAGCCAAGGCCTGCAGGAGCTTTGTGCCTTGTCTAAAACAGAATCTGAGCAAATAACGTCTTTTCTACCATCGGTACTAAGTGTAAGGGTTGGGCTTTGTGAGTTCAGAGAACTTCTACCTACCTTGTGTCCTGGAACCCTCACAACTCTGTGATGTAAGATAAGAGGGTGTTCTTAACCCCATTTGAGAGAAATCACTGAGGCTTACAAGGGGAAGAGAGAGCTCAAGGCCACACGGTGAAGGGCTAAGACTAAACCCAGCGTCCTCTGACTCCCAGTTCAGTGTTCAGGCCGCCAAACCATACCTCAGATTCTCAGCAATGTTGGGACAAGAGCGCCGTGGGAGATTAAGGATGTCCCAGCAACACCCCCACCTGGCCAAAGCAAGCGCACCATGCAGAAGCACCTGCACATCCACATTGACAGCGGCCCCAACTCCTCCAGCACAGACGCGGACCCATCAGCCCCCACTGACACTGCTTGCAAAACACAAACTTCCGGCAATTCCAATAGCCCGTTTGACCCAGCAGAGCCTCAGGGACAAGACTGACTTCATCTGTCACAACACCACTGCCGCCACTAGATGCAACCTAGGCCGACCTCTTCATCAAGCACACTGTCCTGCTCAGAGCATCTTCCCCTCCCTCGCTCGTCAAGGTCACAATCTACCTGAATTTGGGGTCTCTTCTGACCATTTGTGCTAGGAAGTTTCTGCCTCTCCAGACTCGACCTCCTTCCCTGGCCGCTGAATTGCATGTGCCAGGGGCCCAGCCAGCAAAATCTTTGAAGCAGGACCCCTTTATGTCCCGCTCTGGAACCTAGTGACTCCCCCACCAACCACAATAGTTCAGCACTGTTTGCAAAATGCCTCCATCCTACCACCTAAGCAGCAGGTATGTTTGGGCCCAAGCCTGGGAATCACCTGTCTCAGTCCTATCTGCTGGTCTCCTGGGACCTCCCATCCCAAGCACTCCAAGCTTCTTGGGAAGGAAGGGGTTGCAAACAGCTAGCTGGGTTGATGAAAATATTTGTCATTCAGTGAGAAGGGAGGGCTGTGCAGAGTGCAGTTGGAAGTAAGGTGCTCAAGACACCCCTGGGCTTCCAACACAAGTTCAGGCTCCTCTGGAAATGAGGAAAGAGTGGGGAGATTACCTCGATTACAAATACTGCAGAAGTTGCTGGGCCCCTCGCTGTGCTTCTTCAGGTGGTCTGCCATGTACGCTGCCCGCAAGTACTTCCCACACACCTGGCAGGGGACCTTGTCTTCATGACAGGCTAGATGGGAGCGCAGACGGTCTCGTGTAGCAAAAGAAGCATTGCAGGTCTGAGGGCAGAAAAGAAAACAAGATGAGTGAAACCTAGTACTCCACACCTGACCAACTACACTGTGAAGCAAAAGTAGCTCCTGCCCATTGTATGATTCCCTTTAGAATTTTTTTTTTTGTCTTTTTGAGACAGGGTCTCGCTATGCAGTTCAGGCTGGCCTTGAGCTCACTTTGTAGTCCAGGCTGGTCTCGAACTTGCAACGATCCTCCTGCCTCAGCCCCCCGAGTGCTGGGATTACAGGCGTGCGCCACCACGCCTGGCCTCCCTTTAGAATTAAGAGAGCTACGGAGTTTGGCTCATGGTCTTTACCCAGAATACCAAGTGGCTGCTCTTATTTCCTAAGATGCCTCCTCACAGGACACCTGAGTTGGAATGACAAGTTCTTTACCATAGACATGCCCAGGACATAGCAAGCTAAATCCTGTGCTCCTCTGCAAAGCAAAGAACTAAGTCCTTATTCATCTTCAACCATGAATCACTGACTTTAGGTACATAGGCTGCAAATGAATTACAGATAAGTTGTTGGCATATAAACCAGTCTTCCTATCCTCCACACTGGGCTTTTCCTTCAGTGCTTTATAAAAAGAATTCAGTTTATTCATTTTAGCCGAAAGGGACATTAGTCTTGGTCTCAAGGCAATGGAAAGGCAGGTCAAAGCACAGAGATAACTCCTCATATTTTCAATTTATATTGAAAAAGCAGCCTATAAAATGATAGTGCCAATTCTGCTAATATGAAAATTAACAGAAAGAACGAGCCGAAGGAAGACCCAAGCCTTCAAGAGTATCTGTGAAACGCTGAGGTGGGGAAGTGCCCGCAGGAACAAGGAGGAGGGTACCAGCCACTGACTGAGCAAGCCCAGGCTGTCACCTGTTTGAAGCATTTGTCTCGCACTCTCCACCCTGACAGCAGTCCCCCAAGGTGCACAGTGTGAGCACCTCCAGGAGCACACGGCCACGGAAAACCAATTCACAGCATAAGGTCAAGTGTCTGAGGAGTTGAAAGTTAGCACCTGTGCCCTGCACCAAGGCCACAGGTCACCAGACTTCTCCCCACATTTGAAGACCTGACTCCATCCCAGGCATTCTCTCTCCCCAACATCCTTTCCTCTGCTGGGTGTGCAAAGGAGAGCAGAAGGCCTGAGAGAGATGCATCTAGTAATTCTCAAGCTGTGTGGGCTGTATGTAGGGGCTTCAGGGGTTCTGGTCAGGATTGACTCATTTCTTTTCTCCATGCTTGCATGAGTGCGTGTGTTTACTGTTTTAGAACTGTAAGAGAAAGCAACATTCACCTTTGAGAGCGTTGCAGAGTGTCTGTGATCCCACTGAAGAACTCCACCCCAACAGCTTGCTAGAATGGAGCTGCCTCTATAATCTGTTTAGAAGTGGCTTCTGAGAACCTGAGATCTTGAGGTAAGTGTCTGAGCATGATCACCACACACAGACCTTTATCCATCTCCTTACTGTACAAAGCAAGATGCCATCATTTACTATCCATCCCAAATACTTGCACTACAATCCTTGCTACTCCTAGTCATTGTTTTTTTAAGTAAATGTTACAAGTTTGGAACAATTTATACAAGTGAAACAGTGCATTTGTTTTGTGTGTGTGTGAGCACGCATGTTATGGGTTTAATTAACAAGGAAGCTAACTTCAAAAACTGAACTTGCCCAAAGCCTAAGACTCAACTACTATAGAAAGTAGCAGTCTGAGCACCCTCCCCACGGTCAGGCCAGTACACCACCAATCTTCTCAGTTACCCTGACATCTTCTTATCTTTTCCAACTTAACGCTGAGCAAATGGAGGCTCTGAGAGTACAGCTCCGATGGGAACCAGCCCAAAGTCTGTGTGCTACCCATCTCCAAATCCAGGAGACGGGGGATCTTGTGAGTGAAAGGTCTTGACCCTCATTAACACAGTATATCTGGTCCTAGGGCTCCCCTGGCCAGGAAGGGCGAAAGGATTTGTGCAGAGATTTCTACGTGACTCAGAAAACATCCTGGACACTTGGTCTCATGGTCACAGGGAGGCCCCACCTCAATGGTCATAGAGACCTCATGACCTGGTGATGGGCTACCTGTTTGAGAAGAAAATTCACAGCCCATTTGTCCAGGAACAGGAGCTGGTTCTGCCAGGCAATGACCCGAGGAGCACACTTCCAATGGTGAGAGGGAATTGTGTTATGAGCCTTGCAAGTAGAAAGAACCAGTATGGACCAGGTGTTAAAAAAAAAAAAAAGGAACTTAAAGCATGCATTCAGGATTGTGCCTTCCATAGTCCCTGGGAGAGGGCGCCACTAGAGGGCTATGAAAGAGATGCCTTGTTTCTCTTGCCAGCCTTCTTTCAGGATCTCTCCTCTGAACGCTTTGCCTGTCATGCTTTGCTACCTAAAGATGATGGACAGCCAACCCTCAATTACCCACAAGTGGATTATCTGTATGAGGATTAAACTAAGCGAAATTCAAATCCCGGACTGAGCTGGCTCTCCCCACCCCATCCTCCACTGATTATTTCTCAAGAAATGAAAGCTACCTTTAGTCTGAGCAAACTTTTTTTTTTTTTTTTGGTTTTTCTCCGGTACTGGGAACCGAACTCATGACCTTACGCTTGCCAGGCAGGCGCTTTTGCCGCTGAGCTAAATCCCCAGCCCCAGTCTGAGCAAGCTTAACAAGTAATATAAATCTACTGCTGGGGGAAAAAAACCCACACATACACAACAAAAACTTTCACCGTGTTACAAAACTAATGTCAAAGTGATGGTTGGCTTCTCTGTGCCAGGAATGACCCTCCGTGGCTGCAGCGCCCAGGGTTTTCTGAGGTAAACTGTGGAAGTGTGAGTCCAAGTCTAGGCCTGCCAGAAGCTCAGAGAACACAGAACATGAAAAGCCAGGCCATACAACCCATTAGAAAAGTGGCTGAGGGAGAGCTAGATCTCAAAGGCGACACCCAGGCCCTCCATGCTGGGTCCACTCAGGAGAAAAGCACTCCCTGTCCTGGAAACCGGGAGAAGACAGAGGAATCTTGACGAGAGAACAGCCAGCCAGCCAGCTGCAGAATGCTGATGCCTGCGGTGCCTGGGCAGCCTGCCACTGTTAGAAGGCAAACCTGCCCGGTCCCGGTCCAGCCCTCCTGAGTCTGGGTCAACATCACTCCTCACCGAGCCAGTCGTGCTTGCCTCCGTTTCCTCAAGCTTTTCTTTCTGACACCAAGCAGCTTCGGAACGGAGGCCCAAATGGTACCAAGGACACGAGTGCCTACCGCTAAACCTGGCGGTCTTCGAAGTCTGGTAGCCTCAGGGGGCATTTTGAGCAGCCCAGAAAACCTAAGGGCAGTGCTTGGAGATCCAGCTCCACGGGCCTTCTCAGCCTCCTTTTTGAGTGTACCCCAGTTCATTCCTTCTCTAACCAGCCTGAGAAACGGGGCTGTTGGGAGCGATGAAAGGTCTGAGCTGCTCTAGCCTCTCAGCTTCAGGCACACTCCACATAATCCAGCAGTGCCTGGGGCCGTGGGTGGTGGAGACTACCAAGCCTCACACTTCGTGCCTCTATCTTCACATGGCCTTTCCCCGCTAAGCTGAAGCACCAGTCTCTGTAATGAGCTCCTTTCATCGTCCGCAGCATCAGGAGCAGCTAGAGGCATGGCTCAGGCCCAGCCTGCGGGGGCGCAAGGAACCAACTCCCAGAGAGCCATCTCCACCTCTGATGCTTTCAGCGTGCCACACCGTGCCAAACGGATGCCCCTGCTGTTTAATCAAGCTCAGGCACAGCTGGCCGGCCAGCCCAGAGCATGAGAGCCACCATGTCTTCACCTGCTGGGTCCTTCTTGGGGATACCTGGCTACAAGGCTAACCACGGACCAGCAGATGTGGGAGAGTGTGTGCTGAAGGGGCGGGCAGGAGTGGACCTGTACATCAAGGGACAGTGATGTCAGTGTTATGACACAGACCAAGGACAAAACACACAAAGCCTCAAAAGTTAGAATGAAAACTTTATCATCACTGCTGTTCTCCCCACAGAGCCTGCGGGGGGCGCTAAGGGACACACCAAGGGGATCCGGAGGTTCTACATTTCTTTTATCAGCTCCTAAAGCCACATATTGGGGTGGCCCAATATAAAGCCACATGTTAGTTTAGTTCCTGAGCAGACCAGCTTAAAAAAAAAAAAAAAACCTCAAAAGCATGAAAATCTAATTCATTGCCAGAAACAAAAGCAGGACCTGAGCAGGAAGGGAGGAGGGCAGCACAGGTGACCCTAGTTGGAATTGTGCCAGAGGCTCATCTGGAGGCAGATCCAATCCCACAGTGGGAGAAGGGGTAGCCAGACCCTATCCTAGAGACCCCACGCCTTATGGGAAATGATGCCGGGGGAGGGGAAACAGAGAAGCTGGTGGCTTAATTCCTAGGAAAGCACCAACCTCCAAAACCACCCTGGCAAAGACAGATGCCCAGGGGGGCCACCTCTTAAGTGAGATGGGGTAGAGAGCCCAGAAAGAAACTTGGAGGCCATAGGGGGAATCCAGAAAGGTTCTCCTTGCGACTACTACCTGGGAGCCCTGAGTAGAGAAAGCTCCAAGTCATCCCTGGAAGAGCTGAGCTGGGCAGTGGGCAGGAACCACCTTGCTGGCCTCTCCCAAAAGCAGGGGTCTCGGCCAGCCACCATTCACTTCCTCTACCATAAACCCTCTTCAGAGAGGCCAGTGCTAGCCTACAGGCCACTGGGTGAAGGCCCGGCTGCCCTCTGGGGCGGTCCAGCCCTGCCTTAGATATCCCGCCGGGGCTGGGCAGAAGAGAGTGTTGCTGGAGTGTGCTGCGCCCAGGTTTTCAAGGGCTGGGAATGACTTTTTTAGAGAAAGGGAAAAGGCGGTGTCAGGAACCGAATGGGACGACCTCCACAAAGCAGGCTGGGCAAAGTCCCATGATGGCAGGTCGCTAGGAAGAGGTTCCAGGGGCGGCAGGCCGCTGCTGCTCCCAACCCACACCTGGAAAAAGGGCAGAGAGTGCAGGTTACCCCCCCAGGCCACCGGGCATGCCCCCACTGCCCTCTGGGCTCCTCCTATTCTGCCCGGGCTACTCAGCACACTACCTGGGAGAGTCAGAATGTGCCGTGATGAGAAAACCAAGAGACAGAGAGAGAGAAGGCAGCAGGCAGAGACAGATCCCAGCAGGCCCACCCTGGGTCGCCCTTCTTGGGAAAGGTTGCCTTGCCCCTGTCTGTGAACACTGTCCACACCTGGCCCCTGGGCTCTTTGTCCTACTACAGTGCATCCGCCCCCGCTACGGATATCGAGGAACCCTCCCCCTTTGCAACCAGTTAGCTAAGGAGAAGCAGCTCGTCTCTGCTAGAGGTTCTGGTGAGCGACCTACAACGTTACACTGCCCTCAGGAATAGCTGGCAGGAACTTGGCAAGGGATGTCAACCAAGGAGAAGAAAGAGGCGTGTTTTCCATTCACACAAATATTCAGTGGCCAGGAGAGGAAATTCAATTTTCTGGGTGCCAGCAGAGCCCCGATACTGATCAAGCAGATGTGGGTAAGAATCTGGCCCAGCCTTCCCTACCTGCGGCTACCACACAGAGCGCTCAGAGGAAGGTAAGACCCTAGCTCGCCAGTCCTCCAGAAACCCTGACTGTTTGTACTCACGGCTCAGGAGAGGTTACACAGGTGCCAGCACTCAGAGACAAGACCACCCCTTCCCTCCTTCCTGCCCCACCCCACCGCCCTGCCTTGACTGAGGGGACCCAGAAAGAACTCCGCAGCAGTCAGATAAGGAGTTATTGGCTGGATCATGAGGAGCCCTTTCAAAATCCCAGCAGTCCCTGTGAACTGCTGGAAACCAGCAGCCTGGCCCAGCGAGGTGCCAGGTCCCCCAGGACAACACTTGTACAATGTGGCCCACCATCCAAGGAGCCAACGAACACCAGGAGAAAAAAGCCAAGCAACAGAGTGAAGACGAAGACAGGGTGGGGACCGGGACCAAGCAACCAGGAAGGAGGGAGCATCAGCCAGGGAGGAAAGAAGGACTGAGATAAAGAACAAAGGAGGGCTCAGGGAGGGTAGAGGGACAGGGCGGGGAGGTGTGCAAAGCAGTGGTCAGTCAGCCGGCCCTAGCACACACTGCAGGTCGCTCGTGGGCACAGCTGTGAGAACAGCAACGTTCTCCTTCCGCCCATCTTTGCCCTGGCCCGACCCCTACCTGACACTTGTGAGGCCGCTCAGAAGTGTGCACCTGCTTGATATGTCCGTTCAAGTGATCAGGCCTGGAAAAGAGAGAGCCAAGAAGGACTTTAAAACAAGGTATCAGCCAGGCATAGTGGCACACGACTGTAATCCCAGCACTCAGCAGGCTGAGGCAGGAGGATCGACACAAGTTTGAGGCCAGCATGGACTACATAGTGAGTTCAAGGCTAGTCTGAACTACACAGTGAGACCCTGTCTGAAAACAAAATAAAACATAAGCTTTCAAGATGGGGCACAAACATGGCCAGACCCCACCACCCACATCCATTGCTGGAAGACGATTCCTCTTCCCCACCCCAGTATGACAAAGACAAAGTCACCACCCAGCTCTGGCTCCATAGGCCTAGGCTTCTTTGCCCTGGTTTTCTCTAGAGGGGGAAGGGAACATTTGTCTCTGATGTTGCCACATTCTCCCCACCCCCCACCAGTTCCCCCTAACAGAAACTCAATGATTTCTAGGACTGGAGGCTGCAGCTTTAAAATGAAACAGGGCTGCCTTGCTGCGGCCTTTCCGGGAGGGGGGTGTGATTCATTGTCCAGACTAAAGCCCCTTAGAAACTCAGTGTTCCCCTCCCCCAGCCTCTCCCGCCACAGCAGCCAATGAATGCCACCCGGATGGAATTCAGTCCCCAGAGGCCATCCATGGAGCCTTAAGTCCCCAGCTGGGCTGGTAAGCCAGATGCCCGCCAGAGCAGGTGGGCAGGGGCTGCCTGACCGGTAAGACTGGTTCCTGTGGGGCCCCTCTGAGGGAGCTCAGCATCCCGAGGTTCACACACAAGGTCCTCAGGATTCAAGTTAAAATCACCCTTCTATTCTGACTATTCTCCAAGAGAAAAACAGAACAGCCTTCTGTGTACAGACAAGTCCTCAGTTCCTCACCAGGCTCACTAGAAAGTGAATATAAAAGAGGTCCTGCCCTCCTTCCATCCTGTCCGGAGAACACATGGAGCACCTGTGGGTTCCTTGAGCTCTGGACCCACCAGGTCAGAGCAGATGAAAGATTACGGCATTCTAAGGCAGCTCTGGGTGCCTGGCTCTGGATCTCTGGATCCCAGGGTCATGTGAGGTGCAAAGCTGGAGCCTGCTAGATCCAGGATCCCCAGTGCTCTGTGCTAGAGGGGCTGGTGCCTCGGGAGTGTAAGGAGTCCCAGATGCACTTGTTCCAGTTCCTCCCTCAACAGCCATTCGAGAGGAAGGAAAGTCGAGGGAGGAGCCCAGCCTCCTGCCCCCAAAACGGGGCCCCACGCCTGGTGCCAGAAACACAAAGGGATCCTAGGGAGAAGAATGGCAAGGCCTGGTGGCTCTGGCCTGA